GAGGGCAAGTCAACCTGATTGTCTAGTCGGCGAAAAGTATTGCAGAAAGCGCTTCGTGTTGGCAGTGTGTTGGGTGTAACGTCGCTTCTACTCCAAGATTGTGCTGTAGTGCGACTGATAGTGGACCTCAATAGGGGCCTCCCATGGCGCGCATATTTGACTTCCACCTCCATTGTATGCATTTTTGCTCAATCTTCGTGTTTATTTAAGACGCGCACTTATTGCTCTCCATTCAGCCACACAATCCCAGCGGCAGAACTATTGCCAAACAAACAGCAGGAAGTTGAACACACGCACCTCCATCTTGTGTATTTACCTTCATCTTGGCATCAATACGAGTCTTGCAGGTTGTAATAGCCAAACTAAACCACTCTGCTACCATAGGGAAGCTGTGCAACACTGCGGCCCAAGGGTGCAAAACGCTGGACGATGACGAGGTGTGAAACCTGAGGTCTGAGCATCCAATGATGAACAGAAGGTGCAATTGCCGTGCTCCTAATGACGACAACAGCACTACTTTTCGCAGTGACGAAAGGTCAGTAGGATTTTGTACGTCACTCTCATTTCCACTCTACTGCTTGCACGACCACCACAAATGGAGAAAGCTGCGACCGTGAATCACGCCCACCACAACGACGCGCACTGGACGACACCACAGTTCACTCCCTACTTCTCCATACTTTGTCACCCAATACTCTGTTCACGAGCCCAATATGCTTGCAGGGCGAAGGTGGGAATGGGGGTGGCGGTGGGGCATCACAACCCAGGCGTCCTTACTGGTCAGGGTCTGGCTTTCGCTGCTCGCAACGCCGTCATTTAAAATGCTGAAACCAATGCCAACGTGGAAGAAGCCCACCATTATGCTTGGAAGGTAATTTAATTGATTCGGTTCGAGGCCAATTGGTGGTGGCCCCGTTTCCAGAACGGTGCTGCATCCGCCTCATCAGCGCCTCCAGATTCACACGTAATGGAGTACGCATGTACATGCGCACATTGAAGCACTGTACTTCTCCCACAACTCAATTTGCGCCTCATGCTTATTACTTTTCTGCTCTCTCGCTCGCTCGCTTGCTTGCTTGCTCACTCACTACCTCTCAGCCTTGCTCGCCTTCCCCGCTGAATGTCTCGCACGATGAGCTGCTCTAACAGGCAAAAAGGTGACTCCTAAGTC